TTCTTTCTTTGCGTGCACAGATGGGCGCATTATGTAAATATTTCCACATAGTGAGGTAGATATGTGGGGGCGTGTTAGAACGAGCCGTTTTAGGGGGGCGTGGCAGAGTCTTAACTTTGATAAAGAATATCTCTTTGGTTTTGAGACTTTAGTCTTTGCAACTTCAGGGATCTTATCTATTCACGAACAGCTTGTAACACTCCAAAGAGAAAGGAAAACTTGAAATCGCATCATATGACCCCTTTAAGACTGCTTTTGTGCTCCAGGGTCACGTATATAAAACTAGTAGTAGCAATAGCTGTAGTGTTTGAGTACTGCAGTTACTGTTCATTTGAGTAGCTGTAATGCTTATGTTTTCTGTTTCAGCTGAGCGCGCCTTGGACACCATGAACTTTGACGTGATCAAGGGCCGGCCCCTCCGCATCATGTGGTCCCAGCGAGACCCGTCGCTGCGCAAGAGCGGCGTGGGAAACATCTTCATCAAGAACCTGGACAAGTCCATCGACAACAAGGCCCTCTACGACACGTTCTCTGCCTTCGGCAACATTCTGTCCTGCAAGGTAAAGACCAGTGTTTGCAGTAGGGCTGGACAATAATTCAATATGCATCGCGATATAACTTTTTTCAATAACTGTGATATGATTTTTTTTTTTTTTACACATTTCCGATATTTCGATGCACATTGCCAGTGTTTCCCATACATTGATTTATTTGTGGCGGTTGACTTCGCTGAAAAAACATGAGCACTGCACGTTTCACAATCATAACACGGCGCGGGTGTTTTATATGAATGTATCTCTGAAGGAAACCGACTGTCTTCAGAAAAGTTTCGATGACGTTTACATTTTTATCTGATAAAGTAGCATGAGCGGAGCTGCTTTGTTTACAGCCGTTACCGGGGAAACCGCTAGTTCTATCACTCTAAAAGCGCCTCCTGCTGGCAGACAATCAGTTTGCATTTTCAATAATAAGCACGTCTCCAGCAACATTTACAGTTTTTGTTGTTGTATTTATTTTGTTTTCTGCAGCGACTCGGAGCACTTTTCATACCCTTTTTTTTTTCTGGCTGAAGCCAACACTACCAGTCAAATGTTTTTGAACTGTAAGATTTTTAATGTTTTTTTTTTTAAAATTTTTTTTTTTAAGAAGTCTCTTTTGCTCACCAAGCCTGCATTTATTTGATCCAAAGTACAGCAAAAACAGTAAAAATTAAATATTTTTACTATTTAAAATAACTGCTTTCTATTTGAATAGATTTGAAAATATAATTTATTTCTGTGATGCGCAGCTGTATTTCCAGCATCATTACTTCAGTCTTCAGTGTCACATGATCTTCAGAAATCATTCTAATATGCTGATTGGCTGATTATCAATATTTAAAACAGTTGAGTAAAATTTTTTTTTTTTTTTTCAAGATTCTTTGATGAATAGAAAGATCCAAAGATCAGCATTTATCTGAAATCAAAAGCTTTTGTAGCATTATGCACTATTCCATTCAAAAGCTTGGAGTCAGTATAATTTTTATTATTTTTTGGGGAAAGAAATTATAGAAATTAATATTTTTATTTAGCAAGTATGCTTAAAATTGATCAAAAGTGACGATAAAGGCATTTATAATGTTACAAAATAATTCTATTTAAGATAAAAAAAGTGTTCACATCGATATCAGAATTATATCGTATCGACTGAAATTAAGAAATATATCGTGATATATATTTTGGCTATATCGTCCAGCCCTAGTTTGCAGTGAGATGCATGTTTGTGCTCGTGCTCAGTGCTGCTGTTCTCTCTCTGAAGGTGGTTTGCGATGAGAACGGCTCTAAAGGATACGGCTTTGTGC